AGGCTCTACGTCAAGCATGGGTGGAACCCGAGGTAGCATCGATCCAGGAGCCGGCAGCGCCGGCAGCAGCGTCAGCGTGCCGTGGCGAGGAAGAAGCAGTGGAAGTCGGCCAGAAAACCGCTTCGATGATGACGACCTTTTACCTTTCGCCATGGAAAAGAGCGATTTTCATACGGCTGGGAGGGCTGGTGACGTCAATGGGGGAAGTTGAAAAACTTAGAGCAAGACCGAGGCCTCCGATCCGGGACGGAGCTCGGACGCAGCAAGCAGGTCTCCCCGAATCTGCACAAGACGCAACAACACAATTCCAAACTCGGGCTTGAATGATAGAGGAGCTCCACGTTCCACGGAGCCAATGACTTGGGGTTTTACACTGGTGTTTCAAAATGGGTGGATTATTTTGAATTGTGTTTTCTGCAGCGGATGGTTCGTTGTGTTTGCCGATGTCGAATCTTCTGTTTTGTTTCTCGGCGGCGTTGGGCTCGACCCACAGGATGTGTTCATATTCTGTCTCTGAGCGTTTCAGCGCAAATCTACGTTGCAACCGAGGGAAGGCTGGTTTGACTTCTCACCAGGTGAGCTGGGTGGAATGGGTCGTCGTTGTGCCAATACAAGGATCGATGGGAATGTGCGAAACTGGACTGGTCGGAGCTGGACGTCAATTGGATATTCTCTCGAGTGGTCATTGGAAATTTTTGCGCTCGTCTCTCGCTGGAGTCCGAGGGAAAGCTGCACAGGGGCTTTGAAGCCAGCCAAAGGACCTGGACAATCGCTGCCTGGCAACCAGGTTGCAGCGCTGTTTTCTCCCAAGGATCGGACAGGCCGATTTCGAAACGTCTTTTATGAGTCCAAGGCGCTCCCCGGCTGGAGGGAGACAAGCAAGGCCCGCGATCGGCTCGGTGACATTGTATTTCCTCCGCCTCGATGACTCGGCGGCTGCTCTGGCGCATGGGGGTTTGGGAACCGGAAGACTATATAGTAAATGTATGATTTTGCCCATGCAATTTTCCTTGTATTCTGTTTCCCAAATGGAAATCCGCGCATCGAAATCCGCGCGTGGAATCGCAAGGCTACCAGAAACGTCTTTCCACTGAAAGGGCGTAGCACACTTTTACGCCTTTCGATATTTCCCAGCCCTTTTGCCCGATCTACTATCCACTTTAAAAGGAGATGTTCTACTGAGGATCTGTCCATCGGGCCGGATTCAAAAATAAGCGGCACAGTCTGACAGGAAACACAAATTTCAAGACTGCTCAATAACGTCGCCGCGGCCGCTCAACAGAGTGTAACTGACACCGACACTGACACCGACACCGACACCGATACCGACACTGAACGGCAGAGCACCGCTGCTACGAAAGGAAAACAATACCCTTGTTGTGAATGAAGGCTGCCCTCGATCTCATGACAGTGCATCACTCGACTTTCCTTGTTAGGCTGTGCTCACTTGTGTGTCGAATCCAGCTCGGCGTCTCGCACTTCAGACGCAACACGCGTGTCCATGTGCTGTATCCTATTGAGCGGTGGTGCTATCTCTTATAGCCTCGAAGAATGGCCTCGTAAGCCCTGCGGACGAAGGCCGTTCGTCCTGGAAGTGGGATTTTATGCGGCATTTGGGAATAATGACATTACGATTGCTTCCACGGTTGTGCATTATATCCGTCTGAAAACGCAGTTTCGGATGTAGATAGATAACAATAGACATTAGCAAGTGTAACCTAAGGAGCGACTAACATCTAACTGTAATAATAATAATAAAATACGCCCAGTGCACCCAAAAATTCATGTTTCCCGTTAAATGGCGTGTGGCAATTAAGATCTTGCTTCTCATCAACGACATGGCAGCATTGTATTCCTCCTCCTTTAGTGGTCACTGTTCGACAACCGTTTTTGTTGAGAGAATGTGCTTCCCGATCTCCCAAGTTTCATCTATACTTTATTTCTTGTTTCTTTTTTTTTTTTTTTGTTTTTTTTTTTGTTTTCCATTACTGAGGCGGGTGACAGGTGACGGAAAAGGGATTTTGATTTAGTACTTCCATCCCTGGCTCTGGCTTGGAGCCGAGCTCGGTTTGCCGCCTTGCCAATCTTGCCATCCGGTCGTGGAGCAGGGGCTAGTCACCGTAGCCGTGGTGGTCTCGGACTCAGTCACAGTCGTGGTGACGTACACGGTGGAGGCGGGCTGAGTGATGTAGACAGTTGTCGTAGCTGTCGTGGGAGTGCATGTGCTAGTAGAATGCCAGTCTTGCCAGCCTTGTGAAGAAGATGGGGCCGGGGCCGGGTGCCAATCGGCCCAGGTGCTCGAGGTCGGAGCGGGAGCAGGTGCAGCAGACGAGCTCCATTGTTGCCAGCCCTTGGTGCTCGAGTACGTTGTGCTAGGGGTCCAGGTGGAAGTCGAGCTGGTCCATTCTTCCCAGCCCTTCGTACTCGGGCTCGTCGTGCTGGGCGTCCAGGTGGAGGTCGAGCTGGTCCATTCTTGCCAGCCTTTAGTGCTCGAGTACGTTGTGCTAGGGGTCCAGGTGGAGGACGAGCTCGTCCATTCTTCCCAACCCTTGGTACTCGGGCTAGTTGTGCTGGGCGTCCAGGTGGACGAAGAGCTCGTCCATTCTTCCCAACCCTTCGTGCTCGAGTAAGTTGTGCTGGGCGTCCAAGTGGAGGTGGAGCTGGTCCATTCTTCCCAACCCTT